ATCTAAACATAATGTTTGGGTCAAGTCTAGTGAAAGGACATTTGGGTCAAAGACCATGAGGCCAGGATTTTTTTTTTAAATTAATACTTTATTTTTTAAAGCAATTATAGATTATCAATAAAACTGAAGGGGAGGTAAGGAGTTTTCCTACATATCCTCTACCATGACATGTATACATAGCCTTCCCTATTTTCAACATCTTCTACTGGAGTGCTACATTTGTTATAACTGATAAACTTGCATTGACATATCACTATAACCCAAAGTCCATAGTTTACATTAGGGTTCACTCGTGGTGTTGTACATTCTGTGGGTTTAAATAAAGGTATAATAACATGTATCCACCATTATATTATCCTACAGAACAGTTTCACTGCCCCAAAACTCTTCTGTGCTCCACCCATGCATCCTCTCACCCAAATCCTTGTCAATCACTGTTCATATTACTATCTCCATAGTTTTGCCTTGTCTAGAGTGTCCTATAATTGGAATAATATGGTACATACAAAGCCTTTCCAGATTGGTTCCTTTCACTTAGTAATGTGCATTGAGTTTTCTCCATGTATTTTCATGGTGTGGTAACTCATTTCTTTTTTGGCACTAAATAATATTTCGTTGTCTGTACATATCACAGGTTTTTTTAGCCATTTACCCACTAAAGCACTAAAGGATATTTTGGTTTCTTCCAAATTTTGGCAATTATGAATAAAGTTGCTAAAAACATCTGTGTCAGGTTTTTGCGTGAACATAAACCTTCAACTCTTCTAGGTAAATACCAAGGAGTGTGAATCCTGGATGTTTTATTAAGATATGTTTAGTTTTGTAGGAATCTGCCAAACTCTTTCCCAAAGCGGCTATACCATTTTGCATTGCCACCAGCAATGTATTTAATATAAGTTGCTCTTGTTCCACATCTTTACGAGCTTTTGGTGCTATCAGTGTACCTAATTTTGACCTTTCTAATGGGTGTGTAGTAATGGCCCATAGTTAGTTTCCTCTGCATTTCCTTGATGCCATATGATGTGGAGCATTTTTTTCATATACTTATTTGCCACCTGCATATCTTTGATGAGGTGTTCTTAAGGATTTGACCCAATTTTTAGTAGAGTTTTTTTCTTACTGTTGACTTTTAAGAGGTCTGTATATATTTTGTCTATTAGTCCTGTGTCAGATGTGTCATTTACAAATATTTTCTCCCTGTCTGTGACTATATTTTAATTTCTTGATATTGTCTTTTTTTACAGAGCAAAAATTTTAATTTAATGAAGTATATCTGATCAATTATTTCTTTCATGGATAGTGCCTGAGGCTTGGACTCAATTCTTTGAGGTAAGAGAGTCCAAACTTTTCTAGAAAATGTTTCCTTGAAAGGGTGTGGGCCTTAAATTCAGGAAGTATCCTGAAACTTTTTCAAATTAGAAGATAAAAGCAAAAGAGTTGGGCAGCAGATTCAGGGGTAACGAAAATTGAGTTTTGATGACAGTATTAAGCCCTGAATCTATCCATACTGAAGTCAAATACTTCTGGCCTTTTCATTTTTGTCATTAAATATATCTGTTTTGTTTTAGACTGTTCAGGCCAGAATTTTTTTTCACCTGTAAGCAAATTGATGATGAAATCATATTCATTGTCCTAATGCTCTATTTTATTTATTGTGTCACATGATTAAATGCATGCAAACACCTCCCTCCGACCTCTCCCTCATAAAATGAACTACCAGATATCACTGTTCCTTTTAAGAGTTGTCTAAATAATTCTAGCCAAGATTTCAGAATGTGTTTAGAGTAGTTCAGAGATTGGATGTGAGGCACTGATAAGATCAAGCCTTCCTGTTCTGCATAGCAGAATGCAAGAAAAGCAATTAAAGATAAGATAAAGACCTTGAGAAAATTGAAAGTCAAAAGTTGAAAAAACTAAATACAAATTCCAGTTTCATGAAAACCACAAAAGCAGAAATGACCGATAAAAAAATTCAAAAAGTTCCCTAAATAGGGCAACTTTACTGTCATTTTCTTCTTTCTCCTGGTATGGAAATGCGCCAGCCTCACTTCAGTAGTCAGGTTGGAAGTCATTTATGTAAGGTATGCTTATATGATACATATATTTAACTATCTATATATGTAATATTTATAAAATTATATGAGATGATTGGTAGAATTACATACAAAATGGAGTAAATGTAGAATATGTGGACTGTAAGGTATAGTATACTAACTTGTGTGACAAATATGAAACATAACATAGAGATGCACATTTGTAATTAAAAAGAAATTATTAGCAAATTCAAATTAAAGGAGGTAAAAGTTGATTGGAGCTGGTAGAACATTTTTTATCTTTGTCTTTGGATGTTTTATATTTGTGATAACTGAAGAACACTACATTATTTTTGGCCTATGAGAAATTTCGTGAACACAGCAACCATACTTTATTATTCAAGCTAGTGTATTTTATTTCTTCTAATATAAAATATAAAATCATTTGAGCAGTTTTTAAAAATGACTTTTTAATTTTTTTAATTTTTAAAAACATTTTTGTTTGTATTAGTCTTTTTTTATTGTACTTTTTCCCATTTCCATTTATCCCCTTTTCCCCCTTTTAATTTTGAACAGAGATAGACAAAGTATGTAAAACAGGTACATGCTGTATAATGTAATTCTATATAAATTTACATTTAGGTGCATTTGATTATGCAAAACAGCAAGACAGTACCACCAGAGAGCTTTATGTTTAAAAACACAGTAAAAATAATATCTACATGCATTAAACACTGAGACCATCTTGATATATGTCTTATCTGGCTAAATAATGAACACTTGAATGGTTATTAGAGAAAACAGTCAGTTTGTTACAGAACAAAAGTGGGGTTTGACTACCTTCTACCATCAAAAGGCAAACTCTGGAGGCACAGGCTGGTGAGAAAGGAAAGGGTTTTTATTCGAATGCTCAAGGGTCTCAAAGGATGGGGGTGCTCTTTGTCTCTGGATTCATCAGACTCATCTTTTCCGTAAAACGCAGACAAAACCCCTTCATCCTCAGCAAAACCAAAAAAAAAAAGGCAATGCCTAGAGTTCCTGCTCCATTTTGAAGTACCATCCTTTGACAGCTAAGTGGTCATCCACATAGCTTAGCTTGTTCCCAGCTGCTTTTCGGCTTCAGCCCCCTCCTGGAGTCTGCCCGTGGTGCCGGCCCCACCATTGGCCATGTGGCTTCTAGCAGCAAGGCCCTATGCTCCTGGGTAGTGGAGCCAGCAAAGGCACTGGCGAATGCTTCACGAGGTTCGCAAGAGGGAGACTCCCTCCCAGAGGCCATGAGTCACGCGACTGCAGTCACGTGGCCCATGGAGAAGGCAAGTTCCAAGCAGCAGTCATGAGCAGGAGAGCGGTCTTTGTTTTCCTGGGTTTATTTTAGTTTCAGGTGTGGGATAGATGAGATGCTTTCTCATAATGACCAATTAACTTCCCAGACTTCTGCGTGCTTGGGAAGGGTCCACCCTCTGACCAATCCCTATTTTTCCCCAGGCCAGACTGACAGGCCTCTTTGGCCCAGCACCTCTCCCTGTTGGCATTCTGACCTCTGTGGCACATGTGCCTGCCTTCCCTGCTCTCACACCCAATCAGAACTGGAAGCGGGTAGGAGAGCTTTCCCCCTTTTGAATTATCTTGCTAGCCTTGCATGTTCTCAGTGTAATACTTCCTTGAAATACAACATCCTTGTCATGGCCCATGTAGTTTGCAAAGCTATTGTCTGGCTATACCCATGCCCTCAGTGCCTTGAGGAGGAGCATGGCTAAGTGCAGAAGTGGCTTCAGCTGCATCTCCTGGGTGGCCCCTTCTTTTCCTGTCCTTAGTCTGGACAGGCATCTATTGGTATCAAATTCACCAAAGTGCTGTTTATGTCCTTGGTGGCAACTTGCTATTTGACCTGAGGAAACTTTATCCTTTATTGAAAGCTGTTACTACCCATGTATAAATGGCAACAGAATAGAGTATACAAAGGATTTTGATTTCCAAAAGTCTCAAATTCTCATTTTAAGTCAGTTACTTATGTGCTGAATATTTAAATTAAAGATTTAAAAAAATTTTTAAGTGAACAAATTGACATTATTTTGTAATGATATGTTTTATGCTGTAGGATGGAAATGATTTGTAAATGTATGCCAGGACTTTACACATTGTCTTGAAACATAGTGATTTTGTAGCTCACATCAATTGGACCCTGACTTCAGATGAATGGCCTGGAGGATATCAGATTTTTCAATAGGAAATCAGCATGAATAAGTTGGGTAATTACAGGTATATTTGGTCAATAGTGAATGCCCTTTAACTAAATTGAAGAAAGCAATTTGTATCTTGACGTTAAATCATGGGGAGTAGGGTGGGATAAAGTGCCAAAAAATGACTCCTTGAAGGATTTTGAGTAGTGGAGAAATATACTGAATTAATTTATAGGAATTATCAATATTGAAGTGAAGAATGCAGTAGAGGTAAAAAGCCCAGGAGCTGGATGAACTTTATGAACAATGAGGCAATAGTGTTTTGGGACTGATTAGATATAGAATATGAGGGAAAATATGAAATCAAAATTAGGTTCAATCTTTCAACCTTATGAACATATTATGATACTGTTACTAGAGAGTGGTCATTAAGTTAAACTAAGTGCATGACGTTATTAGTTGTTTCTAGGTGACAAGTTCAAATTTAAATGTAAAATGTGAGGTGAACAGTATAGAACTGAAATGTCTAGGAGGCTGTTGAGATGCCAGATTGTGTGTGGCTCAGCAGAGAAGGAAAAGTATAGATCTGGAATTAGTGAATTAACTCCAGAGAAATGTTAAAGCCTTGAGAGTGACTACTGCATGAATTTTCTGGTAGAAGCTTTCTGATAATTTTCTTTTCCTCTTCTATAGAAATAACATGTCTTTTTTTTCTTTTAAGTAAGAATTACTTGTATTGTGTGCAAAGTCTAATGATAAATGAATAGATTTAAGGAGGTTTAAATACTTTTGGTAAGAAATATTTTTATTGAACAATAAAATTAGGAAGCAAGTAAGCAGAATTTCCTTTAGCTTGCCATTAAAAGCTTCCCTTTTCTAGGAAGTTTCTTCTTACCATGATCTGTATTAACACAAAATTAATTTATTCAACCATCTTAATTGATATCATGGATCATTAATGAGCATTAAAGAAAGTTAAATCAGACAAAAATCAGGCTGGCACATGACAGAACTGACTCTTCTTCAAATATGGTTTGGCTCAAGAACCACCGACGTATTTGTTGATGCAAAAGGAGAAGTATATCTAAGGAGGGAAGCACATGATATAATTCTACTGTTATCAGGTCTTTCCAAATGCACAAGTGAATACTCTTTATCAGAAGAAGGTGCTTGTCATCATTTTTAATGTGAAAACCCAAAAGTGCTTGTTTTTTAAGGGCTGTATTTCTTAGTCTGAGCATGGGCTATAAAGGAGATCATCATCATGTATAATATATACAAATATGAGCAAAACAAATAAGTGACTGTATATTATGAAATAGGTGATGACTAAATAGAAAAATGGACTGATTTGATGTGGCCAGCAGTCTGATAATTTGTAGTTAAATGATAAATAGAAAGGGATCAAGAGAATAAATAAATTCATAGTAGTCAGTTAATAAATTATAGCCCTAGAGTAAACAATTTGACTAGATTAGAAAAGGAATGCTGATGAAAATGTATCAATAACAGGTAATATATGCATAGGAAATTCATGAAAATATTAGTTAAAAAGTTTTTTAAAAAAGAAAAATAGAAGTCATAGTGAAAAGCTTCATCTAAAATTTTAGATGTTGTAATGATATCCTATTTCCACTTCTTTCTTTTGCTTCTTTCTTTTCCTTTTAACTTTAAATAATCCTCCTCTTGATATTCTTTTGACAAAAGCTACAAAAGAAAAAGAAACAAGTTTATGCATGATAAAATTATTTATTGTGTTATGTTATCTAAAATGTCCTCATTATCTTTTAATATTTGAAATTAAAAAATGAGACTAGTTTCAATGCTTTTATTTTGTCTATATCTTTTTATGGTTCTAAGATATAGATAATCTCTTTTGTCTATACTGTAGAGCCTATTTCTTTCTAAGGAAGTCACTTTGCATATATTTTAGCTAAAATGAATAAACATGTTAATTTTTATTATTTTCAGTTAGATGTTCATGATAATTTTATTAAAAACATGAACATGTGGCATGATTGGTGGAATATAGATGATTTTATTTATGTAATTAACACCATTTTTGTATTCAGAAGAAAATATTTAATTTTGTGCATTATAGAAAGCTTAAATATATTAGTATAATCCTTTAAAGTGAAAGTTTAGTATGCAAATAATAAAAGATTAAAAAGGTTTTTTAATTAATAATTTTTCTATGAAGAGACATTAAGAGAGATTGCAGGTAATATCCAGCAATATTATCTTAATGTAGTTGAAAAGGGAACATTTATTAGGTAAATTATAACACTTTGTTTCTTATAATAAATAGAACCAATTTCATGATAGTTTTCATAGATTAAAATTCATTTATAATTTACAGACAATTGTTTTCTTAAGCACTAGTGAATTAATGGGGGAATATCTTCTCTACCTTTCCTGCAAGCCCTGAGACATGATCTTTTAGAAGTAAAATTGTTTTCATTCCCTCCACATCCACTGTAATTAAATGGGAGACATGTCCCAGTAACTGCATTGTAGTAGAATCTTCTCTCATTGGCTTTACACAATCCTCTCTCTGCTGGGGTCAGACACCAGTAGGGGCTGTGATAGCCTAAAAACATGAAGAAAACATGGTAAGGCATTATATGATAGTTAATCTGAGACTTTCATATTATTCTTTATAGGTGAATGGTGTGGCATTTTTATGTAAAACAGTAATCTAGATGAATAAAAACACTTAGTAAAATTTACATATTTCAATTCTACAAAAATGCTTAAGCAATCTCTAAGTGTCTGCTGTACTGAGACCTCCAATAAGTGAAAAAGCAGACACATTTGCTAAAGGAAAGAACTGTGATTACTGTTTATTTATAAAAAACTAGCACATAACAAAAGCAGCTACTATTAAACAATTTAACTCTTGACAGTTTGTTAACAATATACATTAAAAAACTATTAATATTTACATATCATTTGTTCATGAATCAACTTTTAGAGAGTCATAATGAGCAAAATTCTTATTTGTTGTCTGAGATACTGAAGCTGAGGAAGAGTTTCTTCCCTGGACTAACAAACTTTTGAATGATGTCACATAATCACAATTTGAAGTGCAGGAATTCACGTGTAAAAAAATGCCAACTTTAAACTTCAGAGAAGAAGCCCAGAAGAGATGAGTTGACTTAATAATAAAGTTTTCTCATAAATTGAAACATGAGTTCTAGAAGCATTACATGCTTTTGCAAAAGAAAGTATATTGCTGAAGCCAGTGAGATAAAACGCCTGCATGTTTAAACCAGACAGACAAGCTGGTCTGGCAGTGGGATTAAACACTTTCAAAAACAGAAGATAAAAATGCAACTAGAGTAATACAAGGAGCATGCATTTCCTTAAGGGAAAGCAGAGAAATGGATTCATCCGAATGGTAGTATTTAACTTGTTTCAGAATTCCTGTTGGTGAGAAGATACTGCTACTCTTTCATAGCAGAGCCAACCTGCTTGATATTAGTAAACCAATATTGCAGTTACGTTGTTGGACAGTGAGAAATCAGTATAAGAAAACTTCAGTGGCTTTGCCACGGGGTGCAATGTGGGACAGTGTGTGCAGACAAATATTCAATGTTGGCAGAAGGTAGAACGTTGAGGAATCCCATAGCCAATAAAGGCAAACAGGGTGTAGAGACAGAAGTAAGCTATCTGATGGCAAGCAAACCCCAGATGAATAGTCTATAAAAGAAAATAAATAAAGTGAAACAATTTGAGATAAAAAATTAAATTTTAAATTGGTACATTTATGTTTACTGCCTCTTGCCTTGTATATATTTAAATAAAGATTACAATGTCTTGATATAATGGTGCATAGAATGAGAGAAATTCTGGAAAATATAAGAGGAGTTGGAATATGGTGGGAGGAATGTAGGAGGAGACATTTTAGAAGGGTGATTGATATACTTTGTCAAAATATAAGAACTGTAATCACATAAAGAATATTTAGAAACCCCTAGAACCTGTAAAACTAAGACATTATCCAAAATCATGTAGTCTAATTTATGTTTAGCTCATCCTGTTGGGAGTCATAGTGCATGATCACTGCCATCATAAATCAAAGCTAAAATGTATTTGATGAGAATGTGTACTTAACTTTCTAGAAAATGTTGAAATCTCCTGTCACTAACAAATAGCTTATGCAAGAAGAATTTTCTAACAATCTAGGAGAAATATGTTTCAATTAAGCCCTACTAACTGTGCAGCCTTTTCCAATGTGTGTGCTATGGATTCTCATCAACCTGCGGCCTGGAGTGTGATGGCCATTATTTGTTACCACTTCCATCTCTATGGGCTTCCAAAGTCATCACCTATGTTTAGAAAAAATACCCTATAAATAAGTTGCCTGATTTGAAAAAGAGAGAAAACAGAGGAAATTTCCATTCTTTGGTTTTGTTTTTTTTTTCATTCTTAGCAAGTACCCACTGGTGCATTACAGCAGATACGTATGATGAAATATGACTCATACATCTATTTCATTTTAGTATTTTGTGCACAAGACATAATAACCCACAGTAAGTTGCAGATATTATATACAGATTTACTTGCAAGTTGTACACTTCTTTATAAATGTTAGTTATTATGTCTTAATAACAATGCTACCCAGTATTCCAACAATGTTTGCCACAGAACCAAGGGAAAGGTTCCCTATAATGTGGAAAAGGGCAAAAAGAGGCAGAGAGAGGGTTGATGTGAGAGCAAAGATAGAGCTGACCAGTGCAGATGCCTTCAGAGTTTAACTACGAACTAAATTGTCTTAGGCATCACATTGCCTCTTACTGAAACTCTTTTAGTGTCTCTGAATCACAGGGTGCTTGGCATGTTCTCTCTGACAGCCTGGTATCTGGTGTGCGCACTTGAATTGTCCCTCTTACCAGATACCTTCTCCTACTCAGAGTGTCTGTTCATGACTGTTCTGATGACAGTTGTTTATCTCACTGTGTTTGCCCCGATTTTAATTATTACCTACACAGATGTTCAAACACCAGTCACCTTTGACCCAGATTAAAATCGAGGTTCCTAACATTAGAAGTAAGAATATTTTGATAGTGGGCTAAATTTGAAACTAATCACTAGAGATGTAGTATTATAAATAGTTAACATTTAAAAGTTTTAATGCAATAAATTATCATCAGTTGGGGAGTTTTTATGAGGTTGTTATACTTCAGAACATGAATTATATCTGATATGTAAATTAATCCATTCCTCCTTAAATCATTTTAACTCCAAGCAGGATAAATATTATTGGATTATACTAGCATAAACAACAGCATAATTAGCATAATGAAGCAGACGGTTTCTCAAGGACATTTTAATTCTAAAATTCTTTGAGTCTTTGATTATCTTCTGGTTCAATCTCCTAAAGTGAGGAAATGAAAATTTTTGGCACTCCGTGAAGAGATAAGCTTGTCTGCTTTCAAATAACATATTTATTCTAGATTAACATAAGACTTAACTGTTCAGAATCAGATTTGGATATATACAATGAAAGAAAATGTACAGGTTTTGAAATAATTGCACAATGTGATTTTTTGAGTCAAGATTATAATTATTCACATTAATTTAAGATCAAATAAAAGACACAAACCTGGCTTCTATTCATTTTCCAAAGGGACTTTATTACCAAATGCATTCTGTTCCTATCAGTTGGATAGTTAGAGAGTCTATGATGGGTTTCAGAATTCAGTAGTTTCTTCCAGGAATTACCATCACCTAGCATGATGCTAAATTGTAAGGTGGTGCTTCAAAGTCAGTTTTATATATGAGGCAGTTTATGTAAACTTTCTTTTAAACTTACAAAGTAAACTTTGAATCTTATACTCACTTTGAATCTTTACTGTGGTGTCTTTCTTATTGTTCTCATTTTACGTGGCTATGTAGCTTTTAATTTTACAAACCAAATTAGGTTTTATGAACCACATTGTGATTTGTAAATTATTTTTGTATTCTGAGACTGTTTCATGGTACTGAATAACTAATCTTTCTTTGAATACAAAGTTCTTTCTTTTTTCCCCATAATTTTGTGGTGAAGAAAAACACCTATTTTTACTTTCTAATTATAAATTATCATTTTAAATTGTTCAAATAATATAAAAGTATAACAAATAAAAATGTAAGTTCTTCATAATTTGACCCCTGTCCTTTAACAACTATGAGTGGTTTGGTATCTATCTTCTCCCAATTTTTTTGCATATGCAAACCTATATTACTACACCATTATGTGTTATTATTATACTTGATATTATTTTTTGGATATGATTTTATATTTGTTCATATGTATACCTTATTTTTTAAATGTATGCACAGTATTTTATTTTTTGAATCAGCTACAATATGTTTAATATAGTATACTCAATTATTCATGTACTTACTGATGTATAAATTATTTCTATTTTTTTCAATTCCAAACAATGGTTCATACACATATTTGTATGTAGGTTAAGATATTTCTAGAAGAGATATTTCTAAAATTAGAATTGTGCAGAATCTATATTCAATTTATTTTTTGGTAGATGCAGCTGAATTTTCCACTAAAAGTTTATGTATATTTATACATTTAGAAGTGCCTAAACAGTATTTAACAAAATGTGGGCCTTATTGCAATGTATTTATTTACTATTTGTTGCTTTTTTTGTCTTCTCATAGCCACAAAAATAGAAGAGTACTATGTAGAACTAGTAATTGCTCATAACTCCTCACATGTTCTACAAAATATAATTTGTGTAGAATTTAAGATGCCATTGATTTTTAAATGCACCATTATTTTATGTACTGTTTGTAAAGAAAAAAGAAAAGCACACAATTACTCTATTGCATGCTATCATTTGCTAGTTTTATCATAAATTAAGCATGTGAAAATATAGAGAAATTTGCATCTTAGAACCAATAAAATATGCTAATTCATCTTTTTGTGTCAACACACCAAACTTAAACATTTACAAGCACATGCAAATGGAAATGGAAATAATATATGCTATCCGTTAGCCCAAAGCTGAAAGGGAGTTCAATCAGCGAGAAGATGATTACTGTAGAGATGTTTTTAGCAGGTAGCAGGCTGAACATTTTACTAGGCTGCCACTCTACCAAACAGACTATTTTATGCTGAGTTTATTCTATGCTGTGGGGGATCCTCCAGAAGCTACTGTCAGCCTTGCATTTTACTTACTTTGTGATGAGTTGGAAAAATAGCAAAGAAATGCTAAAAGAATGTGCTAGCATGTTGACAGCAATGGTTTCTGTGTACTGGAAATGTGGCTGATTTTCTTCTATTTTTCTATTTTTTCAAGTTATACACAATTATAATGCTCAAATTATATAATAAAACATATTACATAATAAATATTAAATAATATATAATAAAGATACTTTAGTGTGATTCCAGTGTCCTGTTATCACCAAGTGTCCTGTGGTCATAAAAAAAAGGCTGGAGCCCCGGCTGGTGTGGCTCAGTGGATTGAGCGCCAACCTGTGCACCAAAGAGTCTCCGGTTTGATTCCCAGTGAGGGTACATGTCTTGGCTGCAGGTCAGGCCCCAAGTAGGGCTTGCATGAGAGGCAACCACACATTGAT